AGTAAAAAGTGTTACACCATGTTACAGTTTTGCACGTCACTGTATGTACGCACATATAGTAAACCATTTCGCAAGTTTTGGCTTTTTTTCATTTTATTTAATATTTTTTATGCGAGTTAGCAGATTACTTAACAAACACCATATAAATCCACATTTCAGACTTTGTGCTAAAATTATGAAAATTGTCCCAAGTTTGACCAAAATTACTGACTTTTTAATAAACTTCTTTAGACAAAGCTATGGTGCGCAGTTTTGTAGCCCATTAAATTTTAGTGTAATAAAGTGCAAATTTGCAGTAGCTAGAACTTACCGCTGATTTTTGGCAGTTTTTTTTTGTCGACGGTTTTTTCCGCATTTTTCCATACAAAGTATGTATGTTTGACAATTTTTTTATATGAAAAAAAATGCGGAACACAGTCAACAAACAAAAAATTGCCAAAATGGGCTACAAAACTGCAAACCAAAGTTTTGTCTAAAGATCCAATCAGCAGAAAGTTAGAACTTTCGGTCAAACTTTGCAGAATTTTCATAATTTTTGCACAAAGTCTGAGATTTGGATTTATGTATATGTAATGATGAAAAATTTTAATTTCATAAGTAATCAGCTATAATTTCATAAAATAATAATAAACATTGAATAATTTAAAGAAAGATACGTTTCCATGAGACGCTCAGCACAAATTTAAGGAGATGTGACCGCCAAATATTTTTTTTTTATCGAGGTCAGAATTGTTACCGAAACTGTATGACAAGATTTATGTATGTACGTATGTTAAACCGTACATTGTAGACATGTATACATTTACATAGATGTTTATTAATCTATAAGTTATACACACCCACATTTTTTAAGCAAGTATATTTTCTACTAGCGAACCTTAGCGTAGACCACGTAACTTGTTTAGGTAACAATATTTGCAAAAGACTAATATTTACTAAATATACTGATAAAAACTCGGCTGTTACTTTAAATGATAATCTTAGCTGAGTGCTACAAGATCGTCATAATGCAAAAAACAGAAGTTATTTTAGACATAAAGAATTTGTACATAATCACTAAAGGCGTTTATACAAACATAAGCTTGATAATGGAAAATTTTTTAGAAGAGGATGGCTTCTTGACTTGCAGTCAAAGAATGATAATTCGTCTGTCAGTTGTCCATATATCGAAATCTTGCCATCATCAAGAACATTCTTGTTTTCAATATAGAATCTAAGGAAATTATACATAAGCAATGACTGCAGATGACGTAAATATCTAAAAATACACACTTTAGTGTACTAAGGCAAACAAATATTGCTTGCCATTACATAGTATGTACATAGTTTGGCGCTGAACTAAATATGAAGCAATATTTGTTTGTTTAAAGCCAACAATAACTCTCCAATTCTAATCCTTTAGAAAATGCTTCGCTTACCAAGCCATGCAGCGTATCAACATTTGTTATTTTTATAGCAATTGATAGACAGGAGGGTATCAAAGTGTACGTCATCTACGGTATGAGGCCGCGAGCAGATGTACATAGGCATGCAAAGGTACATATTTGCATATATGTATGTATGCACATACATATGTGTAAACATAAAAACTTTATTGTTGTAGGCGCGGAGCTGCATATGGCTGAATCTACATACGTGCATGCTTATGTATGTATGTATATGCTTTAGCTATTTGCCTATGGTGAAGATCGCCAAACAATATACATACTTTGAGTTAGAATATGATTTAAGATGACGCTACAATGTGGGCGTTGCTCGTCATATACAAACTTAGTATGTATGTATGTACATATGTGCAAACGTGGCGTTGTGGCCGCAGCAACGAAAACCGCGAATTTATGGTCTCGACATCCTATAGAAGCTAGCAACTGCTGCCTCAAATGGCAGCAACGACTTATGTATATTAATATAAAACGACACATGAATGTCAAGTTTTTTTGGTCAATCTACATATTTACATACACATGTACATACATACATTCANAGTCGCCAAACCAAATAAATATGTATTGTCCAAATCAACTTGTTACGCTTTCAAACTTATGGCCAGCTCCTCCCACTCCCTAATATATATTTCTATGATGGAAACTTGGTCGTTTTAAACATACCTGAATAAATTGTATTGTTAACGCAGATTTTCCTACGCCACCACCTCCAACAATCACTAGTTTGTATGTTTGCAAGGATGATCCACTGCCTTGTGCGGTATTGCTTCGCGACATTTTACGGAATTTTCTAATTAATTTCTACTTTAGTTTGCAATGTTTTCAAATGAAATCGTCTGACGTTACCAATTTAGCTGCGGTTCCACCCAAAAAACATTTCACTACAACAACGAATTATGAATGGTGACTGACAGTAGCAGACGTCGGCAGAGACCGCAGTGGAAATGATTTGACAGCTGAAATTCCATTG